CTGTGAAGAAATGATATTGAAGCTTTTTACAGATGTGAGAGTTGGACTATAAAGAAAGCTGAGCACTGGAGAATTGATGCTTTTGAACTGTGGTTTTGGAGAAGACTCTTGAGAGTCCCTTGGTCTGCATGGAGTTCCAACCAGTCCTGAATATTCATTGGAAGGACTGCTGTTGAAGCTGAAACTCCAATACTTTGGCCACCTGATGCAAAGAACTGACTCATTTAAAAAGACACTGATGCTGAGAAAGAATGAAGGAAGGAGGAGAGAGGATGACAGAGGATGAGATGGTTCGATGGCATCACCGACTCAATGGACAAGAGTTTGAGTAAACTCCAGGAGTTGGTGATGGACAGGGAGGCCTGGCATGCTGCGATTCATGGGGTCACAAAGAGTCAGGCATGAATGAACAACTGAACTGACTGAAATTTCAGTTATTTGCCTGCTGTTGTTTTGAAGTTGAGTTGTAGTAGTTTCTTTGACATTCTGGATGTAAGCCCCTTATTCAGATACACATTTTGAAGATACTTCCTCTCATTCTATAGTTGCTTGTTGTTGATTGTTGAGACTCTCCTTTCTTCACTTTTTAAATTTAGAACCTTGGCAAAGATCATTTGGCCACACGTGTGTCAATTTACTTGCAATTCCCTTTTTATGGTTCACTGGTCTCTTCCTTCCTATTTTGTTGCTGGTACAACACTGTTTTGACTGTTGTGGCATTCTTATGTGGATTGAATTCAGGAAGCATTAAGGCCCCATTGTTCTTTGCTCTCAAGACTTTTTCTCTTTGAGTTTCTTTTAGGTTCCATAAGTATCAGTATTCTGGGTTTGTTTTTTTTTTCCCCCATTTGTATAAAGTTGAAATGAGATTTTGTGAGTGGTTTCAATATATATGTACATCACTTTTAGTTGTATAAGGTCAACAGCACTAAATATTCCAGTCTGTGAATATGCTATGCCATTCCATTTACTTGTGTCTTCTTTCTCTCAACAGTGTACAATGGTTTTCAGTGCCCAAATCTTGCACTTCCTAATGAGCCTCTTGCACTACCTTGTTTGAGTCATCTGAGTCAGGGACGGGAAAGACAGGCTCATGAAGAGAGGGAATGTCCTCTCTCCCCTCTGTGCCTACCCTCTGGTTACTTGTAGTACTGGTGTGCAGGGCCATGCCTTCACCTCTGCCTACAAGTGAGCCCCCTCTGGGAATTTTCTTTAAATCTGAGTGTTCACTTTACTATTGAATTGTCCACAAGCACTCTCCCAATGCCTGGCCTGTGTCCAAGAGCCCCAGGTATACCTACATATGACTGAGCATATGAGACCATCAAATCTTCTGCAATAAAGAAAAACCTGAACAGCAGCTCAGCGTCTTTTCCTTATCATTGGAGCTCTTAGAGCTGAATGTTCCAGTGGAGTAGCCACTACTCAGATCAGCCTATTTATAATGAATATACTTCAAACAATAATTAATGTGTTATATTTTTAAAAAGCCCCACAAAAACCACAGAATTACTTGGTCACACTAGTGATATTTCAGGTGTGTCCATAAATGTTGGAATTTCAGTTTCATAAGCTTGAATGTAAGAGCTATATTGAGCATGTGGAAAAGTAAGGTTGGGATTCTCTCAGGATCTCTATGTCATGTGAAATTTTGCAACTGTGATCAACATCTTGTTGAAAGGCTCTGACTCCGCCAAGCACAGGGAAGGTCTGTGAACCTGGAGGGAAGACCAGGGAGATGCTTTGTGAGCCAAGAGAAGGAGGAAAGATGGAAGGGTCAACTTGTATAATAACTGTATTATTGCTCATGGTTGTCTTTCTACAGAAATGTATGCTAGAGAGTCTTAGCAGCAGTGATGTAGAAGAGAATTAGATAGGACACAGGTCTCAGGGAGAGTAGGATTTAGAGGGAGAGGGTTCCTGAACCGCTCAGGTTATACCTGCTTCTTTGGAGATAAAACAGGTGAATATGAACTGAGGATTTAAATTGGAGGGAGAGAGTTTCTGGACCACTTGGGAGATAAAAGAAGGTGAATATAAACTGAAGAAGAAGGGAGTATGTGTAAGCTTGTGATTTGCTCCTTGTATTTTAATGAAATAATAAACTGTGTGTGCATGTGCTTTGTTGTGCTGCGCCTGTAGTCGTCTCTTGTTACAGACATCTCTTCTTGCTTTTACGTTTAGAAGTGTCCTTTCTCACAAGACTCCTCTTTCTTTGTCCTTTCATTGAGAAACATGAGAGAATGGCTTATGGTTAGTGCCTTCAGAGTCTTACACACAAGGGACTTCAGGCCTGTTTAAATTCTCCTGTGATGGCCACATCCTAATGGGACCAAAAGCCTAATAGTTACTTGACACTGCAGGCCAAGCTCTTGCAGTGAGTGTCAGGTTCTGGGTGAGATATGAACTCGCTACCTCTGCGTTTTCAGGACTCGTAGATTGCCCTCACGTTTGTCTTCATTGTTTATTGCTCATGTAAAGGGTGTTCTCGGGGTTGGATAAGTCAACGCACACAGGCTCTGGCATCCCAGACTGGACTGAGTCTCCTGGAGCTCATCTCAGCTTCCAGCCCAAGGATGCTGTGCTGAAGGCGCCTTCACGTGGGAGCGGTCCATGCCCCGTTGCCCCTGGAGACCAGCAAGCCCCCAGACGCTTGACAATGTGAGGGAGCCACTGGCTTTCCTAACACACTGGCTCTCACAGCCCTGCTGACCTGGCCTCCTGGGCCTGACCAGACCCAGGTCAGAGACTCAGAGCAGTGGGACCCAGGATCACTGTTCCACGTAGAACCCAATGCTCCCATCTAGACAGCCCTGCCCCTGCTCTGCACACCCCAGTCCTGCCCACCCTGTTACCTTTACTCAAACTTTCCCAGGTTTGATTCCTCCCAGTCTTTCCAAGATTGGGGTAAACCCTGGCTGGGGCTGTGTGTATATGAGGCTTCCCTATCTGTAAAACCTTTGTGGCATCACTTCAGACTAAGACACTTTGGACATGTTACTTTAATTATAATATTGTGTTCATCCTCCCTAAGGGGCTAAGAGACTTAAGCAGTTATTTTGAGCACCAAGTTTCTCCCAGTTATCTAAAGTTAGCTCAGGCACAGAATACTTGTTACCTGAAGTTGGTTGTGTATCTAGGCTGTTGTGGAAAGTGATGCAGTGAATTTAGGAGTGCAGATATCTCTTTGTGATACTGATTTAATTTCCTTTGTATATATATCCAGAACTGTGTTTGCTGAATCGTATGCTACTCCTTTCATACATTTATAAGGAAACTTTTACTGTTTTCCACAACATAGCCACACAATTTACATTCCCACCAGCAGTGTACAAAGGTTCTAGCTCCCCACATCATGGCCTTAACCTGTTAATTCTTTGCCTTTATAATATACAAACTAACAGGCATGAGGTGTTGATTTACTTTGCCCTGATGATTAGTGAGGTTGAAAACCTTTTCCTTTGTATGCTAGTCATTTGTCTGTCTTGTTCCCGAAATGTCTGTTTAAATCTTTGCACATTCCTCAACTCCCTTATTTACTCTTTTTAATATTTTTTTGTTTTGCATTTGAGCTGTGGTATTTTCTTATGAATTTTGAGGATGAGCTCCTTATCTGATACATGGCTTGTAATTTTTCTGTAGGTTATCTTTTCATCGTACTGATTTATTGAAGAGACTACCCTTTTCCTATTCCATTGTCTTAGAACCTTGATGAATTTCATTTGACCATGTATCCGTGACTTTTCTTGGAGCTCTGTATTCTGGTCTTTAGGGCTATGTATCTATTTCTATGTCAGTATCATACAGGTTTGATTCCTATATCTTTGTAATGTGTTTTGAAATCAGGAGGTGAGATATTTTGATCTTTGTTTTCAAGGTTATTTTGTCTATGTGGAGTCCTTAGCAGTTCCATATATATCTTTGGATTTGTTTTTCCCATTTCTATGAAAATGATGTTAATACTTTGATTGGTGTTGCAATGAATTTTTACTTAGCTTTGGGTACTATAAAAATGTCAACAGTACCAAGTCTCCAGTCTATGAGCATGATCTGTCAGTTCAATTCCTCGTGGCTTAGTTCATTCTCTCAGTGGGGTGTGTAGTGTTCAGTGTGCTGGTCGTTTCTCTCTGAAGACCCTGTGTCCCTCCCTCCCTGATCTCAGAGTCAGTGGTGGAGGTATGGGCTGGTGAGGAGATGCAGTGTCCCTCCCTCCGTCCTCACCTCTTCTCTGATGATGTTCAGCACAATTGCCCTGGGCCCTGTGTCCACACCTGTCCCCTCAAGTGGAACACCTGCTGGGAAATCCTCTAAGATCTAGGTATTGGCATTGCTGTTTCAGTGTCCCAAAGGCTCCTGAGTACGTGGGTTGTATTCACAAGCGCAGGAAATACCTACAAAAATGAATCATCAAATCAGGCCAGCCAAATACTCTGCAGAAGCTGTTGGGCTACATTTTGCAGGCCTGCAAGTGCTGTACTTTGCCTGGACTTGAGACCAAAAAAAACTCCAGAGTTGACAGAGATATCAAAGGGTTAATAGATGGGACATCTTACATATCTGAAGTAAATGGGTCCTGGAGATGAAAGGTTGTTGCTGAACCACAAAAAGACTCCGAGATTCTTGGCCTCCGGAGGAGAAGAATTCAATCCAGGGCCAGAGACGAGGCTTGATCCCTCAGAGCTTTTGTGTAATAAAGTTTAATTAAAGTATAAAGGAGACAGAGAAAGTTTCTGACATAGGCATCAGAAGGGGGCAGAAAGAGTGCCCCCCTGTTAGTCTTTAGCTGGATGTTATATAGTCACTAGCAGTTTGTTAAGAAAGAAAGGAGGGTGTACGTGCAGAGCGCGCAGAGCGAGTGGCGCCCACACGCCCTGCGCTGCTCCACCGGCCGAGCCGGCCGCCCGGAACGCTGAGGCGGCGGTGGCCAATGAGGCGGGTCTCGCGCGCCGGGCCCGCGTGTCCGAGCGGAGGGCGCCGTCCGCCGCGCAGGCCGCGCTCCCTCAGCCCGCGGCGGTGATGAGGCGCTGAGGCGGCGGCCGGCGCTGCGTGGCGCGACCGAAGGACGAGGACGCGGCCGGGCCGAGGGCGCGGGGCGCCGGTCTCCTGAGGCGAGGGGCGGGGGCGCATGGCGCAGTGACGGCCCCTGCCGCTCCCCGGCCCGAGGCTAGGCCGTCCGGCCGCCACCCCTCCTGCTCGGCCGCCGCCTCCAGCCCCGCCGCCATGGCCAATGACAGCGGAGGGCCCGGTGGGCCGAGCCTGAGCGAGCGAGACCGGCAGTACTGCGAGCTGTGTGGGAAGATGGAGAACCTGCTGCGCTATAGCCGCTGCCACAGCTCCTTCTACTGCAGCAAGGAGCATCAGCGCCAGGACTGGAAGAAGCACAAGCTCGTGTGCCAGGTCGGCGAGAAGGTTTCTGCCCCCGGCACGGGCCAACCGTTAAGCCGGGCCGCGTGCCGCCGCCCAGGGCCGCCGAAGCCAGGGAGGCCAGGAAGGCGGCGCCGCGCCGGGACCGAGCCGTCGACGCCGCGGGTCCGCGGGCCTCCGGAGGCGCGGCCAAGGCGAAGGCGAAGGCCAAGCCTACGGCCGACCCCGCGGCAGCCGCGTCCCCGCCCCGCGTGGCCCCCGGCAGCCAGGGTTGTGTAGCGGCGGCCGCCGAGGCGGAGTCCGCGAAGGAGGAGCTGCTGGCCCGCCCGTCGCTGTACCAGGAGAGGGCGAACCTGTACCCGCTGAGTAACGCGCCGGGCGAGGGGCTGAGCCTCGGCGGCCTGCGGCCCAACGGGCAGACGAAGCCGATGCCGGCACTGAAGCTGGCGCTGGAGTACATCGTGCCCTGCATGAACAAGCACGGCATCTGCGTGGTGGACGACTTCCTGGGCAAGGAGACCGGCCAGCAGATCGGCGACGAGGTGCGCGCCCTGCACGACACGGGCAAGTTCACGGACGGGCAGCTGGTCAGCCAGAAGAGCGACTCGTCCAAGGACATCCGAGGCGATAAGATCACCTGGATCGAGGGCGAGGAGCCCGGCTGCGAAACCATCGGGCTGCTCATGAACAACATGGACGACCTGATCCGCCACTGTAACGGGAAGCTGGGCAACTACAAAATCAATGGCCGGACGAAAGCCATGGTTGCTTGCTATCCTGGCAATGAACAGGTTACGTACGTCATGTCGATAATCCAAATGGAGATGGAAGATGTGTGACATGTATATATTATCTTAATAAAGACTGGGATGCCAAGGTAAGTGGAGGTATACTTCGAATTTTTCCAGAAGGCAAAGCCCAGTTTGCTGACATTGAACCCAAATTTGATAGACTGCTGTTTTTCTGGTCTGACCGTCGCAACCCTCATGAAGTACAACCAGCATATGCTACAAGGTACGCAATAACTGTTTGGTATTTTGATGCAGATGAGAGAGCACGAGCTAAAGCAAAATATCTAACAGGTAAAAAAGGTGTGAGGGTTGAACTCAATAAACCTTCTGATTTGATCAGTAAAGACGTCTTATAGAGCCTTTCATCCAGCAATACCCCACTTCACCTACAATACTTATTGACGCTACTTGTTAACTTGTGAATACAAATAAATGGGATAAAGAAAAATAGACAGCCAGTTGGCAGTTTAAGGAAACAGAAACAACTTTTTTGTGTTGCGTCAAAACAGAGATTTTGACTGTGTGGCTCTGTACTGCATGATCGACTCCAAACCTGTGATGGGAGGAATGTAAGTTATCAACTGAAAGTGGTGTTTACATCTGGACATGAAATAAGTGCCCTAGGCAGAATTGTTTTCATTCTTATATTTTGCCAGATCTGTCATCTAGCTGAATTCATTTCATCTCTCCCTTTTTTATATAGTCAAGTTTGAATTTGAAATAATTTTTGTATACTCAGGTACAATTTATCAAAACTGAATTGAGAAAAAATTACAATATTATTTCCCAAAATAGCATCAATCTATTTTTGTAAACCTCTTCATACTATTAAATTTTGCCCTGAAAAGCCTCTTAAAAAAAAAAGAAAGAAAAGGAAGAAAGGAATGTCTTAAAACTCAGAATGGCACCAGGCCCCTCATCCATAAGATGTATTTTGGGATAATCTTGGCACCGGAAGAGTCATCCCAGGCCATAAAATGATTGACTTAAATCCTGTAGACAGATTACCATACAAATAGTTTCGTTTACATAGATTAGGGGAACAATGTCTGAATATAACATAATGGTTTGTCAAGTAGGTTCTGAACCATTAGGCAGAATGGACTTCAAGACAGAGTTTGGGGTAAAGGCATAGCACATTAACATAGCTTAAGACAAACATTTCCATAAGAAGAGTGCATTGGTTAACTCAAGGTTTGAGAATAGTTAACTTCAAGTGGAACCAGGTGTCATTATGGCAACACAGTATTTTAAGAGAAATCTCCTTTTAAATTTGTATAGGAAAGGGGGGGGGGGGAAAGCATCATTCCTGCCACTTAAGAGAGAGATAAAAATGTCTGACACTTGAAGCCTATTTCCTCTGTTTGGAGACCCCTGGCCTTCCTGCCTGTTACCCTCTCAGAGAGACACCCACTGTGGATAGGAGGGGACAGGCAGAAGACAGCAGCTATAGTTTTCTTTACTCTGAGGGGATAAGGAGTCTACCAGTTACAGTGGGAATGAACAGCAGATTGGCCCATTGATTACCTTGGAAACCAGAAAAGGGCCACATCTCTCTTAGCCCCTCAGGCTAAATGCTCTCATGCGTCAGAGGTCTTTTCTTTGTTAATTTAACAGCAAACAGTCATCTTGAAATGGCCAGAAAACACAAAGGAAATAACAAGAGAGGGGTGTTAACACCCTGTATATATCCATGCATACTCAGTCACTTAGTTATGACCCCACTGTTTGTGACCCCATGGACTATATCCCACCAGGCTCCTCTGTCCATGCTATTTTCCAGGCAAGAATATTGAACTGGATTGTCATTTCCTCCTCCAAAGTATCTTCCCAACCCAGAGATTGAACCCACGTCTCCTGCATTGGCAGGCAAATTCTTTACCACTAAGCCACCTGGGAAACACCTTCACTTGTACCAAAGTTCCTGTTCTGCCGTCATCTGTCAGAATCGGCAGGACTCGTGGTGATGATCTGAAGATTCATTCAGTCTTTCCTGGTGACTCAGACAATAAAGAATTCACCTGCAATCCAGAAGACCTGGGTTAGAACCCTGAGTCAGGAGGATCCCCTGAAGAAGGAAGTGCCTAACCACTCCAGGATTCTTGCCTGGAGAATTCCATGACAGACGGCCGTGGCCGGCTAGTCCCTGGGCTCACAAAGTGCTGAAATCGACTGCATGAGTTATCCGCACACATATATAAACATATATAGTGGCTTTTGTGTATTATAGTTGGTAGGCACTAGCGAGATGTGACTGCTATAATTTACCTAAAGGCATGTTATACATGTGTCAAAACACTTGTGATTTCAGGTTGGTTAGCATGAAGGTGAGAGCTCTAGTGGACATGTAGAAGTGAGAGGTTGAGAATTGACTTTTTCAGCATCTCTATCTTTAGGTTTGCAACTGATATCAGTGACTTACTGAATGACTGTGACTGCACAGAGCACAGATGACTGCCATCTGCTATCCACAGTGGGGTGTCTCTTCAGGACCTTGGGAAAAAGTTCAAGGTGATGCTGTGAGATCCAGCAGTCCTCAACTGGAGGATATGTGCATGGGTTGCTCATTCTAACCACCTTTTTGCTCGTGGAGTGCACTGTGGAGGGCATTTGGTGCAGTGATGAGAAAGGGGAGACAGGTAGCTAACAAGATTCCATTGGGATCTGATGGGAGAGGGTTCTGGAAGTTAAACCCTCTGTTAACCCCAGAGTTAAACTCTCTGTTTGGTGGCTAAGAAAAGTGAACATGAAATTAAGAAGAAGGAAATGTGTATAGAATTCTGACTTATTCTTTACATATGAAATGATGTGATAGAGAAATTGTGTCCTGGACTTGCATTGTGCTCTATTTCTAATCAGCTTTTGTTGCTTTACTCTTCAAAAATTATTTTTCCTATAAGAGCTGCTCGTTTCTGCTTTTTTACTAATATGGAAACCTGGTCTCTGGTCAGCACATCTCGGGTATTGTGCACTGCAGGCTGTTTTCTGTTGCATGTTGAACTATGAGGACCATATCCTAGTGGGCACAAAACTCTCATTGTCACTTGACACTGGAGACCACGTCCTTGCAGTGCCTGTGAGGTGGTGGGTGCGATGTGAACTCTCTCCTCCTGCACTTTCAGGACTTGTGACTTCCCCTCATGTTTGTCCTCACTGTTAATTCCTCGTGTAAAGGGCGCTGCTGGGGGTGGATGAGTCACAGCACACAGGCTCTGGGGTCCCTGCCCGGGCCCGGTCTCCTGGGGCTCTTCACAGCCTCTGCAGCAGCCAAGGCTGATGTGCTGAAGGTGCTTCCGGGTGAGAGGTCCATGTCCTGCTGCTCCTGGAGACCCTCCCCATCTGCAGATTCTAGAGTCTGTGAAGGGCCCACGGGGCTTCCTCACACACTTGCTTTCACAGCCCTGCTGACCTGGTCTCCTAGGATTGGGCATTCCCAGGGCAGCAGGTCCTGGGGTCACTGCTACTCTCAGAACCCACTGCTGCATCCAGACAGTCTTGCCCCTTCTCCCCAACCCAGGCCTGCCCCATCCTCTCTCCTTTCCTTACACCTTCCCAAGTCTCATCCCTCCCAATTTTCCAAGTCTCAGTGCAAACCCGGCAGCTACCACATGTTTATGGAGGACCCTTGCACATTATTCTGGCTAAATGAAATTGGAAGTGTTTGCCTCTATCCTTTCTAAGGGTCTGTGAAACTTGAGGTGTTGCTGTGAGCATTAAGCATCTCCCAGGTAACTCAGGCCACCCCAGGCAACGGGAGAGTCTCTGTTATGTGGAATTTTTGTCCTTCCCTCCCCCAGGGCTCAACACACTCTCAAGTCCATGCCAGCTCCTCCCTTGGAGAAATGTATTGGTTAATTGAGTAATGGACTGATTGGAGACAGTGGCCATACACCGATGTTCCTCCTTCTAATGTGTCCACATTGCAAACTCTAGGGTTGCTAGAGGTTGAAGGAGGAAGTAAAGTGACAGTGACTAGAGGAGAGAAATAAGGAAGCAATTAGAGAAGAAGCAGCAGGAGAAGGAGGCAAGGAAGGCTGTGGGCAGAGATGCATGGAGACAGTGACCAC